TGAGCAGTGACCATGATAGTATTTGTAGAAAAGAGAAAGAGGTGCAACTTTACGACGATGGGAAAGAGGCTCAAGCTTAGCAGATAGTCCAGGTCCAACAACATTTACAATGCGTTTTTGGACCTTGTCAAGAAGAGAAAGTGAATCGTTAAAAAAACCAGCCCAAATATGACAACAGTATTCCATACAGGGACGAATAAGCAATTTGTAGAGGTAGAGAATGGAATCAGAAGTAAGGAAATGGCGAGCACGATAAAGAGAAGCAACTTTAGCAGAAGCTAATTTAGCAATCGGTTGTATATATGGTTTCCATGAAAGGTCAGTAGTAAGCGATAATCCAAGAAGACATAAAAAGGAGGACTCAGTAAGAGAATTGCCTAAGATTCATTAAGATAGGAATGTTGACCATATTACGGTAGTTGTTTGCAGTAAACAACTGGGTTTTGTTAGAGTTGAAATTAACAAGTCACTGTGAACCCCAATCTATTACTGAAGTGAGATCGGATTCAAGATCAGCTGCTTGTTCTAGGCGATCGAAAAGAGAAGACTTTTTGTCAAGACAGGAGTATAAAGTTGAGTCATCAGCAAAAAGAGCTACTTTAGATGAAAGGTTTTCAGGAAGATTGTTTATGTAGATAAGAAACAAAACAGGGCCCAGGATGGAACCTTGGGGAACCCCAGAAGTTACTGGAAAAGAAGAGTGTTGGCCTTCAAGGATGACTTTAATAAACCGGTTAGAAAGAAATGATTTGATAATCTCAAAAACTTTCCCAGAAACACCATATGAAGCAAGCTTATGGAGAAGACCAGCACTTTAGATATGTCGAGAGCAATAGCCCTAGCCTCACCGCCTCCATCTAATGCACGATAAAATCTTTCAGTTACAGCAGTTAGCAAGTTGGCCGTAGAGCAAGAGGATCGAAAACTGCATTGATTGTCTGACAGTAGTTTATTTGACTCAAGATGAGATGTGAGAAATTTGTTGATCAAAGACTCAAAGACCTTGCTAATAACAGAAAGAAGACTGATTGGACGATAATTGGAGGGATCTCTTGATTTTCTCCAGAATTTTTGAATATTGGAACCACAGATGCCATTTTCCAACATACAGGCAAACAAGAGTCAGTCAAACACTTGTTAAATCGTTTAGAGAGAATTGAAGAAACTTCTGGAGAACAATTCTGCAAGACTGTGACAGGAATGTTGTCTGGACCACAAGCTGTAGACGAGTTTAATTGAGATATGACTTTAGCAACAAAAGCCAGAGTGATTTGAATGTCTAACAATGGGTCAACCTGTTTGACTGGAATGGATGGAAGAGAATGTCCATAAGATTCAAAAGTGGAATTAGAAGAAAAGTTCTTTGCAAATAGTTCTGCCTTATCCTTGGGAGAGGTAATAAGATCAGTCCCATGAATGAAAGATGGAATGTTAGATCTACCCTTGTTAATAATGCTGTTGAAGATTTTCCAAAAGTCTTTAGAGCCTAACTTCTGTGATAAGATGCGAGATTTAGTGAACTGAGAATAATGGAGTTTAGCATCAGAAAGCACTTTTTTACATCGATTTCTTGCAATAATAAATAGCTGTTTGTTCTCAAGAGAGTTGTTCTTTTGAAAAAGATGAAAAAAATGATTACGATTGGATATAGCAGCTGCACAAGAAGGAGAAAACCATGGAGTAGAATAAGGCTTGACTAAAAACCGACACGAAGGAATAAAAGCTTCAATTCCAGCCTGAATCCAGGAGGTTACGTAGGAGGCGCATTTATCAACTGAGAGAGAAAAAACATCAGCCCAAGGACCATCACAAAGAAAATCACGAAAAGAATCTCAGTCAGCTTTAGGGTAGTAGTAGGTGGTGCGATGATAAGGTGAGCCCAAAAAAGAAGTACGAGGAGAAAGATTTATAGAGATCATTGCATTGTCAGAACCACCTAAGGGAGAAAAGGGAGAAACTGAACATAAGCTAGGGTCAGAGACAAGACATAAGTCAAGGAGTGAAGGCAAATGATTAGGGTTGTCAGGAAAACGAGTCACAAAGGTAACTATCTGAGTAAGAGATTGAGAAATGCAGAAGTTAAAGGTTTTAGTGCCAGCAGGATCAGTGGTGTTAGAGCCAAGCCATTCAGTGTGATGGGCATTAAAATCACCACCAACAACAATATTGGCAGAGGGGTAAAGAGAGAAGGCATGGTCAATTTGATCAGAGATAACATCTAAAAGTGCAATCATGGGAAGAAGGAGAACGATAAAGAACAAAGAGAAAGTTGATAGAGTAAAGAGGTGTTAGGCAAAAGCATATAAAAGAATGGTCAAAGAATTCGAACCTGATTTCACGACAAATAGGGGAATTAATGCATATGTATACCCCTAAACCTAGCATGTGACTATTAGAGTCTTTACGAATCAATTGATAGTATCCATCAACACTGACATCTGAAGAAGGAATTGCAGAATTTAAATTTGTTTCACTGAGTGCAAGCAAGTTTGGTGAATTTTGCAGGAGGTTTAGCGAACACCGCGCCAGAGGTTCAGACAGAACACAAACATACATAAAAAACATAAAGTAACTTACGGGTGAGCGAACACCGCGCCAGATGTTCAAACAGAACACAAACATACATTAAAAACATTAAGTAACTTACGGGTGAGCGAACACCGCGCCAGATGTTCAGACAGAACACAAACATACATATAAAGTAGATTACAGGTGGGCTAATACAGTAACTAAGGCGCCTCCAACTATATATAAAAAAAAAAAAAAAAAAAATAATACTTTAGGCATAACTAATATAAGATAGTACTGATGACAGGAAGCACACTCCTTCCAGCCTTTGCTTAGAAAGCAAATCCTGCAAGGCAGCAGAACATGGAACAGGTTGCACTGAGTTACATGTTACCAGTAGCAGGATGATCATGAAGACCATACTCCTGACCTGACAGGTGTTTTGACAGGTGTTTCAGGATGTTTTTGTAATTTAGTAGTTCACCTTGGTCTTTTGGAGGCCAAGGTGAAATACTATTCTTCGAATCAAGAGTACCAATTTGCACTAGCAGATTTACTGATCTTTCTCCTGAAGAAATAACATACAATAATGTTTTAAATCAACTTCAGAAACTAGATAAAAAAAGCATGTGGTCCAAACAATCTTCATCTAGTACTGCTCAAAAATTCATCAAATGCTTTTGCTCTACCATTTACATTAGTTTTTAGGGAATCTTTAGTTACTAGTCAACTGCCGATTTAATTTAGATCTGCAAACGTAACTCCACTTTACAAAAAAGGCGATAAGACAGTAGCAACAAATTATCGTCCAGTTTCCTTCACTTCAGTTCCATGTAAGATACTAGTCCAAAGTAAAATTGAAAAATAATTTATGATAACAATTTGTTGGCGCAGCAGCAACATGGATTTGTGAAGAAAAAGTCGTTTACAACTAATTTACTAGAAACTATTGATTTTATAACATACATAGAAAATGATACACCAAATGATATTGTTTTGCTAAATTTCATAAAAGCTTTTGATACTGTTGCGCATAAGACTGATATTAAAGTTAAAGTCATATGGAATCACTGGTCTTGTTTTGAAATGGATTGAATCATTCCTAACAAATAGACAACAAAAAATAGTTAAAGGTGAAATTGTATCTAGCTGGGTCAACATTTTAAGTGGTGTGCCACAAGGTTTAGTTATTGGTCCTATTTGTTATTTATTTACTTACCTATGCCATACTTACCTATGATAATAAAAAACATCACAAAGTTATATGCAGATGATACTAAGATTTTAGCAACTGTGGATTCTGATCTGTGTGTGAGAGAAATTCAAAATGACTTAGAGAAATTCAAAATGGAAGGATCAAGTTAACATGGCAATTGGTAAAGCAAATCAGATGCTAGGTCTTGTAAAAAAATCATTTGTGAGATTTGACTGTAGACTTATTTTTCTTTTATTTTACATTTATTTGTCCTTTTTTAGAGTTTGTTATTCCAGTTTGGTCTCCGTATCTGAAAGGAGATTGTGATGCTATTGAAAAAGTGCAACATAGAGCAACAAAACTTGTATCTTCAATAAGTAACCTTACATATGAAGATCAACTTTTTTCTTTAGACTTTCTTAATATAAGAGGAAAAAGAGGTGACTTCATTCAATTATATAAATTTGTTCAAGGCATTGAAAATATAGAAATCAACGAAGGTTTTTCATTTGCAAATAACAGTTTTAGAGGTAACTGTTTTAAATATTGCAAAGAATTTGCCAGACTTCCATCAAGAGAACATTCTTTTTTCAATAGAATTGCGAATCTATGGAACTCGTTTCGAAATAAAGTTGTAACAGCACAATTGGTTGATTTTTTTAAAGTCGTTCTTGATTGCTGGTTAAGAAGCAATCAAGCATAACAGCTGTCAAAGTGTGCATAAAAACACACTGGCTTTGACAGCATAGCAAAAATTTATTATTACAATTACTATTACATGCAGACACATATTTTTTTATAAGCTAAAATGTATTATTTTATTGGCTAATTAACTTAACTTGTAGGCAATCTATTTTACTATGTTTATTACTTTAAGCTATACTTTAAGCTAACACTCAAGTTGATATGTCTTTAAAAACTCTGTGCAAAACATATCTTGGATGTGGTGCAAATCTTTAAAATTTTAAAAGTTTAACAATGTAAATATATCAATATAAATAATATTTATAATATATTTAAGCAATATTTAATATCAATATCAATATGAGAATAACTAACTAAAATTTTTATATAAACCTGTTGGTAAACTTTAAGTGTTGAAATTAAAGAACATCATAAATTAAACATCTGAAAAATCTAATAATCCTAAAAATGAAAATAAAAAGCAAAAATTTAGTATTTAAATAATAAAGTTTATCAAGTTTATTAAAATGCAATAGTTGATATATGTAATTGAAGGAGTAACAAATAGTGATAATAATATAGTAAAATAATGTTTAGTAACTTTTATTTCTAGGTTTTCAAAGATATTCAAAAGAACAACATTCTTCATTATCTTTCAAAATTGATGCTGTCTGATGAAGCAAGAATACCTGTTGTTTGTTTGTTCGGAAATTTGCTTCCTGAACTCTATTACCGTTTATTCAATGAACTAAAGAATAATTTTAACAAGTCTAGTTTTCCATCAGCGTTAAATCAAATAGCATATCTTTCAACATTACTTCTTGAGAAAGGTCCAACTATGTTAAAACTTATAAAAAAATTTTTAAATTGGATTTCAGTAAGTTTTATGAATAACTGTAAAGGTTTTGAGGCTATAATGCATTATCACGAGGCTATTCCTTCATTGCTTCAACTTACTTATTTTTTTTGTAGTTTTGAAAAAACTTACAAAAGCGTTTTCTCATTAAAAAATTTGCTTTGTTTTTGCAATTCCAATGATATAATCGTTCGCTGGTATGCTTTTAAATTAATATACAATGAGCTGAAAACTCCTTGTATAGAAATTCAACTTAAAATAAGGTTTAATGAAAATGATTTTAACACAATGATTTTGCAAGAGTATGAACTTAAACAGAGTATCAAAAACTTTGCTAAACATGATAGTGATATCTTTTTAAAAAAAGTTATAAATCCTAGCATTTCAAATTTTTTTTTTGAAAAATCAGATTTTAATGGTAACTTTTTTCCAATTTATAATTTTGTATTTGAGCACTGCAACAGTAACAGTAAAATTAATGCTTCTTTTCCGTTTTTGGTGTTAACTGAGTTGACAAAACAAACATTAAAGTCTATTGCTGTTGGCATAATGTCAAATTATCCAATCTTATTGTCTGGAGACACTGGTTGTGGTAAAACAACTATTGTCGAATCTCTTGCTGCATATCTTGGAAGAAATAAATCACCTAATATCATAAAAATTCAACTTGGAGAACTAACAGATAGCAAGGTTTGTTTTAAATTTTAATAAAACTTTTTTTTTTGACTATAAGTTTGATCATAAACTTATTTAAGTTATTATTAGTGAATGTATACAGTAAAGCATGGCAGAATGAAGTTATTCTTTTTGGCTAAGTGAATAATTAACTTATAGAGTCAAACCATTGAATTAATTGACAATTCCAAATAAAAAGCAAGTTCCAAATAAAAAGACAATTCCAAACAAAAGCAAAATTTTTTGAAGTCACTTTTAGCAATTATGATTAATATATGATTATATAATTATGTTGTAGAGAATAAGATGATTGCAATAAGATGATCATTTTTAATGTCATAAAATTTTAATAAAATATTATGGCATCTTAAAATTCACACACAATCAAGGTATACACTGTTGTGCTTGCTGTAGGGTAATTCCATTTAAAAACATCTAGAGCATGCAATCAAGTCAGATTTTGGTGATTTTTACACTAATCAAAGATTTTAATAAGTTTTAAACATCCTCAAAATTTCATCATCATAATAAACAGGTGGTAGGGAATTTTTATTCTTATTTCTATGAGTAAGTTTATATTTTCTAGTTTAAAATCTAATAAATGGGGAAATGGGGCTCTTAATAACTAGCTCAGTGTGTGTGGTAAATTTTTTGAAAATCAATAAAAATCAACATCAGTGTATTAGGCACCTTTTTAGTCAGTGCCACCTTTTTAAGTAATTTTAACCATGGTTTTTTAACTAATTTTAACCTAGAAGAAAACCTTAAAAGAAATTAATTTTAAAGTAATTTTAACCATGTTTTTTTAACTAAATTAAAGTAAATTAGACCATGTCTATCTACATGGTAAATTACATTTACATTACAAATGTCTAATTTAATTAAAAAAAAGACTCCAAGTCTTTTTATTAACTCTAACTAAGCTATTCAGGACAGGATCTAAAAAAAAAAAAAAAAATTGAGCTAAATCAGCATTTTTGTAATTAAACTTGTCCCAGTAAAATTGTGATAAAGGTTAAAATTTTATGCTTATTATTAAATATTTTAAATTGTTTTTTTGGATTCCTTGCTTTAAAATATGTAAGTGTACATACAACAGAAACAAAGACCAAAACCATTTTGTAAATGGTAGATTTTCCTTTGTTCAAGGCAAAGTTGAAATTTTTATATTTTTTAAATTGTTCAGAATTATAAAATTTTGAAGATGTTCATAACTTATTAAAATCTTTGAGTCATGTAAAAATCAGCAAACCTAAAACTTTTGTTGAAAAATTGAAAAATTTAATTGAAATTTATTAAAATTATTTAAAAAAAAAAACACATTCAAATCATTTATAGAATTTTAAAAAAGTTGGCAATTAGTAATCAGAGCAGATGTGTTAAAGGGCATGACAAATTGTTTCTTTTTCACGGACGTTGACGTTCGTATCTTAAATTATTGACGAACGTCTAATTTAAGTGATACATGTCAAATAATATATAAGAATATAAGTTTTATATTCAAATAAGTTTTTATTCTAGTTAATAAGCTTTTGGATATATGAAAGATAGTTATTGAATTTAATCAATTGTCACATTTTCGAAACAATTTTTCATGCATTTGCAAAGTGCGCCTGAATTATTGATTTTTTATATGCAATGATTGTATACTGTTATTTAACGATGCAAAACTTTTTTTTTAATTTAGTTAAATTTATTTACTCATAAAATATACGTATAAACGTAAAGAAATTAAAATAAAAGGAACTAAAGAAATAAATCGAAAAATGACGTCTCATTTATAAATGTATATTAATTTTTATATTTATATAAATGGATTTAAAAATTGCTAAAACTTTTTAATTTATGGCCTTCCAGATGTCTAATACCAACCGCTGCGTCAATCCAATTTTTGACATGTTTTTTGGGCAAAAAGTCTTCAATTAACTGGCCATCAAGCTTTATACGCATAATATCCTCTAAGGTATTGTCATTTAATGAAGTTCGCAAAATATTTTTTTGTAAGTTCATACAAGAAAAACTGAGTTTGCAACTTGCGGTTGAAGCTCTGAAAGTTAGCATAATCTCTAACAAGACATTTATACTTGCCAATTCAGATTTATTTTCCAGCAAGATATCTTTATAAATACTTAAAAGTGAATTTATCCTTAGTTTAGAGACTTTCTCGCTGAATAAAGGCTTCTGCAATACACATAAATAAGAAGTTTCTCTGCTTATCATAATATTGTTCTCATAAAAGTTGCAAACACTTTTTATTTCATTAAATCCCCATTTTATCAATATTGCTAATATTTGGATACTTTTGGAAAACCCAGCAAGAGAAACACTCATTTGATTTGTCAATATGAATCCAGCTTAGTTGTTGCCTGTGTTTTTTATTGCTTGGCAGCAATCCATTTACGGTGTTCCAAAACATAAATTTAATATCTTTTGGCGATATATCCAATTTTCCCAAAGTCATAGCACAATCCAAGTCATTGCACTTTTTTTTCGCATGTTTAGTTTCTCTCTCTTCTTCTCCTTTACGTTTAATGTTACATTCTTCTGTACCATCTCTCTTTAACATCGAAAAGATGCTTAGTTGTTTTGACATTTTTAAAAAAATTTAAAAATAATAGTATATTAAGCATTTAATAATAAGTTAATAAAAATATCATGTTATTGGTGTTGTTAAATGCACAATAAAAAAATTAAAATTTTAACAAACATAATAACTTTATATATTCTATTAGATTATGTATTTTTTAGCAAAACTTGAACATTATTTTTAAAACTTAAAAGTTTTAAAATGCAAACTAACATTACTTCACTTTAAGGAAAATAAGAAAAAACAAACAAAAAACACGCTATTAAAAAAAGCAATCGTTGTTTAAGCATGGTTTTTTTAACGTAATTGCAAATGTAGTCATTTTAAATAAAATTTTGAATGCTATTTTAAATGCGTGCAAAAACCATGCTCAAACTAATTACTTTCTTCGTTCCATTGAAGAAAGTAGCTTTAGCGTGGTTTCTTTTAAAGTCTTTGAAAATGGGTAAAAATTTTTGTAATTAATTGTTTTTTGTGTTTTTTATTATAAATAAAAAACAAATCAATAGTTAATTGTTTGGAAAAAAAAAATTGCTATAGTAACGCGTTCATTTTGAAAAATTTTAGGCGAACAATGTTTGCATTAGGAAAAGTAAAGGAACATGACGTTCGTTTTTCTGTCTTTTTTTGTGCAGACAGTTGCAGGTTCGTCGATTTTTTGCGCCCTGTGTAGCTAAAAGACCATTGATTGGCTACAATAAAAAATCAATTACATGGTTGGAAATTGCATCAATGCTGCTAGTAATCATTTTGCGCTATACACATGCAGATGATGCTGTATATGAAATCTGTAATGTATTATAAAAACCATTATAAAATTTAATTCATTCTAGGATATTTTAATCTGTAACTTATTCAATTAATGACTTATTTAAATAAATCTAATTATAGAGATAGTATTAAAGGTCATATTTTAGTCATAGACATTTGATTCATGTTATCTATTGGGTCAATAATAACAAAACTTATTTGCATGAAAAACTAAAGTTAGTTTAACATAAAATTTTGAAGAGTTTACTATCCCATTTTAATATCTCTTTTTTCACACACTCTGCAGCCATTAGATGTTGGGATTTATTGCCATGTTAAAAGAGTTTGGTGCAAATTAATTTAAAAGTTTTATATAGAGACAAAGTTCAGCAATTTATCAATTGCTGTCGTCAAATGCAGGCAAAACTATTTAGCTGAAAAATGAACTTTTTTGAATAATCTTTAGAAGAGCATATAATAAATAATAAGCTTCACACCCAAAAATAATCTTTAGAATAAATATATCTGACAAATCATTTACTACTGCTTTAAAGCAAATGCTTCACACCCAAAAAAGGTATAAAAATGTAAAAGCAAATAAATTAAACAATGTAAACTCTAACAATAAAAATGTCCACAGAAGCAAACATCATCATAAAAATTTAAAATTTTGTTATTATGTTATTATTGAAAGAATAATCAGTTGTTTTTTAATTAGTTATAAGTAGTTGCATTTTTATTGTAAAGGGTTTGTACTAAAGCTGGTAAACCTAGAAAATCAGAATAAATTCGGCTATAGTCATGAAAAACCTGGAATAATCAGAAATTTTTTTTTAGAAATTAGATAGCCAAGCCAGGAAATTTTATCGGACAAGTGACCAGCTTTTTTTTTGTTGATGATACAACCTATTTGTGTGTTTATTTTGATAATCAATAAATACCTTATATCATATCTATTATTTATTTTATGTATAAAATTGTTTTAATGAAGAAGGATTAAACAAAGAACATTATCCTAGGTTTAATTTTTGGTTTATTAAAGGGAATAATAATACCCAGGCTAAAAGCAAACTTTGCCATAAAGTAATTTAACATTCAAACACAGGTATCCAAGCACTAAAAAGTCATGAGAAAGGAAAGAAGCATGTTTCATTTGAAAGCTCTTTTGTTATTAAATTGCCTGCTGCTAAAAAATATAATTCATTTATTTCAGTAAAGGAGTCTAATTTGAAGATAATTGATAGTTCCTTAACAGGAAACTTAATTAATTTGTTTATTATATTAGTTTGCTTTGCAAAAATCAAAAGGAATTTGCTTTAGCTTTTAATGTGCTTAAACACAATATTTTATAGTAATTATAATAATGACAATATTTTAGTATTATTACAATGTCATATATATATGCTATCAGACTTTGTGCATTGCGCTAATCAGAAATTTATGATGTTGTTATATCTTCAGATGAGAACTTTACATTGATAGTGTTTTGATTTTCAATTTTTATTTAGTACCGCAAAATAATTTTTATTAAATAAATTTTTCAATTAAAATTAAGTAAATTTTTGATTTATTTAATATCGCAAAGTTGCAAAAAAGTGCAGTGCGATGTAGTTCAAGAAAAAGTTTGTTATTTATGTGTAAATAATTTACTTAATTAAATCATACATTATACAAATTT